CTCGAGGTGCTTCGCGCACAACTCGATGACCTTCTCGACAAGGGCTGGATTCGCCCTAGTTGCTCGCCATACGGTGCCCCTGTTCTCTTCGTCCGAAAGAAGAACAAAGATCTACGGTTATGCATCGACTATCGGAAACTTAACGCACAAACCGTAAAGAACGCCGGCCCTCTCCCTCGGATTGATGATCTCCTTGAGCGGCTAGGCGGCGCGACGTACTTCTCGAAGTTGGACTTGAAGTCGGGCTACCACCAGATTGAAATCCAGCCTCAAGATCGGTACAAGACCGCGTTCAAGATGCGGTAAGGGCATTTCGAGTGGGTTGTCATGCCATTTGGCCTCACCAATGCCCCCGCGACCTTCCAAGCAGCTATGACGACTGAGTTTCGCGACTTGCTCGATCGCAGCGTCCTCATTTACCTCGATGACATCTTGGTTTATAGCAGGACGCTGGACGAGCACATCATACACCTTCGCGTTGTTTTGAATCGTTTGCGACTAGCCAAGTACAAAGCGAATCGCGACAAGTGCGAGTTCGCCAAGCAGGAACTTGAGTACTTGGGTCATTTTGTCACGCCGAAAGGCATTCGTCCCTTAGCGGACAAGATCCAAGCCATCGTGGATTGGTCGGAACCCCGTTGCACAATGGATGTTCGCTCTTTCATGGGTTTGGCTGGATATTATCAGCGATTCGTCGAGTCATACTCGAAAGTGGCCGTTCCTTTGTCGAGACTTCAGTCCCCGAAGGTGCCCTTCGAGTTCGATGACGCAGCCCGTGGCGCGTTCACTACGTTGAAGGCAGCAATGCAAGCCGCACCTGCCCTCTGTATATACGACCCCACCCTTCCCACCCAAGTGACTACGGACGATTCGGGATACGGTATTGGTGCGGTGTTGGAACAGTGTCACGAGGACGGTTGGCATCCGGTCGAGTATYTCTCCCAAAAGGTGTCTCTCGTCAACACTCTTGACGACGCTAGGAAGAAAGAGCTACTCGCGTTCATCACCGTTCTCAAACGGTGGCACCACTTTCTTCTCGGCCGTCGGCGTTWTAAATGGAATACGGACAACAATCCGTTAACCTTTTATAAAACGCAGGATACGGTCACTAGTACGATCAGTCGATGGATGTATTACATCGACCAGTTCGATTTTGACCCGTGCCACATTCCCGGTCCCGCCAATCGAGCTGCGGACGCCCTCTCACAACGGCCCGACTTTTGTACCATTGTGACCACGGCCTTCGACCTCGATAACGATCTGCAGCAGCATTTCGTCAAAGGCTACAAGTCCGATCCGACTTACTCTACGCTTTACGCGGAGCTTTCATCGGATCACCCGCCGGCTAGCCACTATCGGATTTCCGACGGGTTCCTTCTCCTTCACACGAGAGAAAAGGACTTGCTAGTTGTGCCCCAAGATCGCATCTTACGGACTCGTCTTCTCGGCGAATTCCACGACGCACGACTTTCGGCACACCTTGGTGTGAACCGCACATTAGCACGCCTCCGCCAGCGTTTTCATTGGCCCGATGTCCTTCATGACGTCACGAGGTACATTGAGTCATGTGCAGTTTGCCACCGTAACAAGGGTCGATCTCGAGTCCCCTTCGGCGAACTGAAACCATTGCCGATTCCTCGGGCACCGCGCCTCTCCATTGCTATGGACGTAACAGGCCCGTTCCCCCGCGATCGCCATGGCCATGACGGTATTCTCACGGTTGTTGACCGTTTGAGCAAGTACGCTCGCTTTCTTCCTTGCAAGTATCATGCTGCAGCGCCGGCACTCGCACGACTCTTGCACACCGGTTGGATTACCAACCAGGGTGTTCCGGAAGACATAGTGAGCAACCGAGATACTCGCTTCATGTCGGCCTTTTGGACTTCCCTCATGGCTGAGTCCGGTACGACAATGAAGCCGAGCTCGGCTCGGCACCCGCAAACGAATGCCAGACAGAGCGAGCGCACCAGACAGCTCATAATGATGTTGCGTACACTCATCCGTCCCGACCAGAAAGATTGGGTTGACCGGCTTCCCGACATCGAGTTCGCCTATAACACTTTGGTGCACCCGGCGATCTGCGTCACACCATTCGAGCTACATCATGGTGGAGAGAGAGCACGGATCTTCGCTGATCTCCTTTTGCCACAGGCTGCCAACATAGACGTCCCTTGCTCTCCCGCTTTCCTTCAGAAGTACCGGGACTTGCTGATCAAAGCCCGCGCGAATATGCAAAAGGCTCAAATCCGCATGCAACAGCAAGCTAACCGACGTCGACTTCCATGTCCTTTCCGCGAGGGAGACCTTTTTTGGGTCCTCTCTGAGGAATTTGCGCTCGAGCAGGACGTTTCGCGCAAACTCCTTCCGAAATGGTTCGGACCATGAGAAGTCACTTCTGCCGTTGGAGACGACCCCGCAGGTCCTTCCTTTGTGGTCAACATTCCCCCGCACCTTCCAGTGCACCGGGTCTTCCACGCGTCAAAGCTGGCCATCTACACACCACCTTCCGCCGACGAGTTTCCCGGTCGTCGATCACAGGATCCGCCTTCTATGGACGGACATCAGAAAGTKGACCGAGTCATCACGCACCGCAAGTATGGCAACAAGCCAATGCAGTACAAAGTCACATTCAAGCAATGTGCGCCTGACGACACTCGTTGGATCTCTAGTGCAGACTTGCAGACTTTTGCACCCCTCATCTTCGCCGACTATGAGAAGCGACGCCTTGCCAAGGAAGCAGCTCGTCCCACCCGACCCATCCCGGTATCGGACAGACAACTTCGCCCTCGCAAGTAGCTCGGTCTTTTAAGAGGGGGAGTGTGTTACATCTTCGACGCCACACGGGTCCTACCGGACTTGACTTAGGGCCAGAGGGACACATTAGGGCCTAAAGGCCCGACCTTGGGGGATTATCAGGCCGAAAGGCCACGACTTGGACCAGACCGACGGACCAGGCCCAAACAAAGGCCCAAACGACATTTCGTTTTGGGCCTGGCGGCGCCTTTGAGGCTGCCACTCTCCGGTTGGACCTGAATCGTCGATCTGGACGGTTCAGACCCAACCGAGGCCTCGCAGCATTGAGGCCGGTCTCCTTCGAATCAGAACTTAGTACTGGTCCGGCCTCACTTCGAGGTATCGACCCACCGGCACTCTAGCGGTGCGGTATGGTACGGCGCGATAGCGCTGGCGCTATTTTGAGCGCAGGAGCGGAGAACAGCAGCAGCAGCGCGAGCTAGCGCAGCAGCAGCAGCGAGCGAGGAGACCAGCAGCAGCACGGCGGCCATAGCGGCCTCGACAGCAGCCGGGCAGGTACCAGGAGGCGAGGATCTCTTCCTCCCTCCACGGTCCCTTTCCCTCCTCCTCACCTCCATCTCCCTTACTCTCTCTCTCTCTTCTTCTTCTTCTCCCTCTTCTTCTTCAGACTTCAGACTTCTTCTTCTTCTTCTTCTTCTTCTTCGGACTTCATCTTCTTCTTCTTCAGATTGGAGACTTATACTAGTTGGACAGAGATCAGTGTTGGACTTCGGTAGTGAGAGGCTGTGGTACTTACCGGGTTCGAGACTTGGAGATGGTTGGGGATGATACTCGGCTGCATCACAGATTGGACACCGGCTACATTAGGACTCTGTACCTCCGACACTGGTGACTTATTGTCCTCGACATTTTGATCTTGTCCGATGACATTTTGGATTACCATATCGGTGACCTACCGGTTTCTATCTCGGTGACATCTGGCGCTACCTACATCTCCCACCTCCTTCGTCCCTCCTCCCACATTGCATCTGTGTATGTGTATACGGGGCTGAGCATCGTCTATGTATGGCTCAGACCCCACCATCTCACGATTGTATGTGTGTGGAGTGATATCTATGTGAGTCAGTCTATGTGAGTCAGTCCGTTTATCAGACTTCCGCTGCATATATGCTCATCCTACATTGGTTGATCTTTGGTTTTGCCCATACTCATTAAAATATGTAACAGAGAGAGAGAGAGAGAGAGAGAGAGAGAGAGATTTTGTTTTTCTCCTCTGCCAGGGCCCTGTGGGCCTGCGCCAACCCCCACCCACCTCCACCCCCCAAAACATTTTATTTTATTGTTTTTCACACACACCCCATTCNTTTTTCACACACACCCCATTCTTTTTTTTTTTTTTGAAGGCACGGGGGTGTAGAAGGCCCCCGCACCACCCCCCTCCCGCCCCGATCCTGACCGTTCCGGCCTCCACGTGGGCGGAAACCACGTGAACGGCCGCCGTGAACGGCCGTTCACAGATTTTGGGCCCCGTGACCGGCCGGTCCGGTTCAAGTGACCGGTGCCAGTCATGTTCAAGTGACCGGTGCCGGTCACGTTCACGGGACCGGCACTAGTCGGGACCCACTTAACCGGGCCGCTGCTCTTAGCACCTCTTTTAGTGTGTTTTCCTCCATATGAAGTTTTCTCAAAAAAAAAAAAGAGAGAAAGGTCCCTACTCCACCGTTTTCGAGTGTCTGGAAAATCAATCCAGACTCCTGCCAGCCTCTTTTTTTTTTTTTTYTTTTTTTTTATAAAAGCTCGATCTATTGGTGGGGAGCAGCACCTGCTGGAAACCGGGTCCAGCGTCCCATAGATACAACCATATCCTCACAAATTGGCACAAACTGGGAACCGGGCCCAGCGTCCCCTAACGAGTACATTCAGAAAACTTATTTTGAAAACTTAAGGAATTTTTAGGAAACCTGCGTATACTACAGACCTTTGACCAACTGCTCTTTTAACTGCTCATTGACCCCCACTCCGGTAGGACTTAGCTGTGCCCTATTCCTATCCTACTAGCTAGCCCCCTCACTAGTAGGACGCGTAATATCCACCCATCTACTAGGCCATCGCATGTCCTTGCAAACTCTCTCTACTGCCTTCTTCTTCCAGCGACGATCCGACCTCCTCCACCACATAGTTCGCCGGATGACGAAACAGCAGCGAGAGATGAGTTCACAGGGTCTCACAACAAGCAGCGGCATGCAGCGGTCTTCTTCATCTCGCGACGAGCCGACCTCCTCCACCACGTAGTTCGCGGGATGAAGCAACAACAGCCTACACAGAAATCATCAAAAGTCCCTCCCACTTACCCCCTACTCTTCATGTCTTCTGACGAGCCGACCTCCTCCACCACATAATTCGGAAGATACGAACAGTAGACAAACGACCTAACCCAGTCCCATAGTAGTTAAGGTAGACTTCTACAATTCGTCTTCCTTCGACGAGCCGACCTCCTCCACCACATACTTCAAAGAAGAGGAATAGAAGTAGTCCACTTACAAGAGGGAGTAATAGGTAGTAACAGAATCTGAACACTAAAAAGGAATCTTTTCGAGAGAAAGCAACAAAACCAAAACCAAGGTAGATTGGCACTCAACTGTCCTAACCTCAAACCGGCATCAACCTCCCTTCTCAATATCAAGACTCTTCAAGGCCTCACACCCCCATCTGTTAGGTTACGAGGTAGCGCGACCTACCTCAGAAAACTTCCATCTGTTAGGTTACAGGGTGGAACGACCCACCTCGGCTCTGACCCGCGTCGTCTTGATACCAGCCCCAAACAACCACAGAACCACCTTCCCCCTTAGGCAGTTCCTTGGACCTCTTACCAGGCCTCCAGAGCCCTAGTCACGCTCGAGTTACAGGGCAGCACGACCTAACCCACAGCTCCGACCAGCATCGTTCCAACTCGGCCATCCGAAAACAAAGGAGTGGAAGGCAAATAGCACAGCATCAACTGAACAGCCAAGCATCACCTCAACCTGGATTTCAGGTTCGATGGCACTAGACTCTCCCATAACTTTAATAGACAAGAATATACCTAGAGTAGGACAAAAAACTTGACCTAAATTAGCATATCTCAACAACACAAGGTTGGGTTCACCAACCACCTTGTGAAAATTCACGAAAGTTTTTTTAGAAGTGGATTTAACCAAAATTTAGAAACCATCACTGAGGCCCACAGAACCTAGGAATTAGAGAAGTCAGTCAACAATGATAGCACTGAAAGGGATTTGGATTTTAGAAGAATCATTCCTAGAACTTATACTGGTAAAACATTCAAAATTGTGGATCTATCAGAAACAAGTCTGATTTACGTCTTCAAATTTGCAATTGTATTGGACTCTTGGAATTAAGAATTGGCAATTGTATTAGACTCTTGGAGTTAAGCAGAACCACGAAGATAAAATTCGCATTTGACTACCAATCAAATAGGAACATCATTTAGCAAATATAACCAGAAGAATGCGATCTAAAGGAAAAAAAACGAACTATGAGAATCAGAATCAGAGACCAGACTCAAATCAGATTGTTAATCAAGAACTAAAAGGAAGACTACATACATCTTAGAAAACACAAGCATAGCTGGAGAAAGAGTACTCGAAGTCCCAACACTTCGTAAACCACCCCTCCCCCCTCCAAACCTCACCTCCTCCTTCATCGGCTTTGCAAGCAAAACTGGCCACCTTGTAGCCGACACTCACTCGACCATCCTCAAAGGCCAGTCGACGAAGATAAACAGACCGTGGCAAACCACGTTGTGAGCCCGAACCGTTGAACCTGCCAGCCGCCCCTCGCAGGTTAGTCCGGAGAGATGGAGGGATGTCGTCGTCCAAAGCACCACCACCCTCACCATGCTTGCAGTACCCTTCCCCCCCAAACTGCGCCCACGGAGCCCTGTCACGGGGGAAACGCACACCTCAGTACTTGGCAATCCTAAACCCCATTTCACAACCTAGCAGCGCAGCCCTCCACGCCCACACCCTACCACCCTTACCACCATCGTCCTCACCAAACTCGCCAACTATTTCTCTCGCCGCCACGCCTCGCTCATTCCACCACTTTGCGAAAACGCCGCCCAAACAGACCAGGTTGTCGCCCTCAACCCCACCCTCTTCCCTCGCGCCGCTCGATGCTGCTCCCCTTCGCCGCTCGTCGCCGCGCCTTGCCATCCCTCGCCTCGTACCACCTCCCGCTACATCGCTTGACTCCTCCGTAGTGCACCGGCAGGATCGTACCGGCGGGGCGCAGCGCTCCCGGCCGCGCCGCGCCCCCCCGACTCCTGCCAGCCTTACTATAGGTACTCTTGAAAAAAGGGGTCTTGAAAACCCACTTCCAGAGTTGTGACAGTTGTTTGATACTACCACTCTCAAAGAGCACTTCGTCTGTCTAAGGTTAGAGAGTCCCCGCAACCTTGCTCCAGTTTTAGTTACCAGTCTATCTAAGGTTAAAGAGTCCCTCCAGCCTTGCTCCAGTTTCAGTTCCAATTACCAGTCTATCTAAGGTTAAAGATGCCTAGATTAGCCACCGCACCGCCCACAGCTTGAGCGGGGGTTGCTCCTTGTGCTATAGGTGCAGCTCGGATAGCGATGGGGCGCATCGACCTCATCAACGATTCTATCCGAGCATTGTGCTTACACTGTTCTTTCTTGCTTTCTTGCTTTCTTGCATCAGGCTAACTAGTGATCGAGTTAGTTCC